GGTTAGTCCGTGGGAGCTGAAATGAATCGAGCTTCGGGTTACACAGATGGCTGCTCGTGGTTTCACCTCCCTCAAGGCCTTCAGAAGTCTTCTAGAACCATCCTTAGGCCTTTGTCTCCCTGCCCAGAGCCCACCCTGACCTATAATACTTCAATATCCCACAAGGCCTGGATGGAGTCAGATGTCCCTAGAGGCATGGAAGGGTCTGGTAAAGACAGACATAGCATTGATTGTGTGATGGGAGAGGGAGGAGAGGTAAACAATGAAAGGAAAAGACAGCAGGGACAGTTTTTCTCAATCTATTGAGATTTTGCTTCCAGGCATGTCTAATTTTGGGCTCAAATAAATTTTTATAAAAAAAAAAAAAAAAAAAAAAAAAAGATAGCAGGGACTTAGGCTCCAAGATGTCAGCAAAAATTATTGTTGAGAAAAATTGCCCTGGCCCACGTGACTCAGTTGGTTGGGCATTGTCCTAAACACCGAAAGGTTGCCAATCTGGGCACATGACTGTGCTGTAGGCTTGATCCCCAGTAGGAGGCATGCAGGAGGCAGCTGATTGATGTTCCACTCTCACATCAATGTTTCTCTCTTTCTTCCTCCCTCTTCCCCTCTTAAAATCAATAAAAAATATATTTTTTAATTTAAAATTGTTTCAGTATACCATTTTATCATCTCCCATGATTCTATGGTTGGCTGGGCTCAGCCGGGTGGCTCTTCTGTTCCATATGATAGAGCCATCTGGGGACTCAACTGGGCTGGCACATCCAAGTTGGCTCATGCCATGACTGGTGCCTTGATGGCCGGGAAGCTGGGCTTACTGTGTATCCAGCATCTACCAGGTACTTGCTAGGGTCAAGGTGAACCATTCAAGCAAAAGGGATATTTCCTGGGCACTCTGAAGATTCGGCAGCTCCCCACTAGGCTCTAAGCTCCTAAGAGCAGGCCCTCACTTGACCTGCCCTCAAACCTTGAGTTTGGCACACAGCTCAACAACTATTTGCTGAATGATTACTTGATTGAATGCATCAGTGCTGTGTAAGCATCTTTGAAGGCACTTGAGAAGCACAGTTATGTTTATAAATGAGGAAACCCCCCAGGTTGCCTGGTGGAGGTTGGAGTATAAGCAGACAGTGGAGGCTGGGATGCCGATGAAAAGGCTGTAACGACTGTCCAGGGAAGAGATGGGTGACCCAGACCAGGGACTGGCAGTGGGCCAGGTACGGAGGTGGGTTTAACAAACACGAGGAGGCAGACCTGTCCACCGTTGGTGGAAGTGAATGCTGGGGGGAGGGGGAGAGGATCCAGAGGCACCCCTGGGCCTCTGCTTTGGAAGAAGGAACAAGGAGCATTCGGGTGGTGATGGAGAGCCCCAAGGGAAGGAGTCTTGTTGGCCGGGGCCTCCCTGCCCACCGGGCAGAGATTGTGTGGCACAGAGCCTATCTGAGGCATCGGGCTGGGGGGCTGGGTGCCTGGAGGTGGCTGCTGTCGAAGGAGTGAGCATCTCCATGTTGTCAGCTTCTGCCCACAACCTGCAGGTCTTCCTGTTTCAACACGGGTTTCTCTTTCCTGCCTAACGGGCCCCCAGGCCTCAGCCAGTGTCAGAGCAACAGCAAGCGACTCGCCCCATGTCCCATGAGTGCTGGGCACAGGCACAGTGGGGAGAGCAGGGGGCTAGAAGCCCTCAGACCTCGATTACAAATGCCGTCAGCTACTAGGGGGCCTGGCCAGCAGCAAGGAAACACACAGGTAGCTTTGTGTTCACTTTGTTGCCATGATAAAGCGGCCGTTGGCATTGGCCCAGCTGCCCATCAAAGGGACACACTCCTGAGACACTCAGATGAGCGCAGTCCCTCTTTCTGCGCCTCTATTCGTAGCCTGTCAGTGGGTGTCTTCACGCTGCTGGCTTCCGGCTTGCAAGGCGGCTGCTGCGGCTCCAGACCTCACATCCGTATTCAAGGCAGGAAAGAGGCCAGCACAAAGGGCATTTTTTTTTTTTTTAATGGGAGAAAACAAAAACATCCCCAGATGCCAGCTCTCCAGCTGATTTTCATTCACGTCTTGTTGGCCAGAGCTGCGGTCTCGGAACCTCAGCCGCAGAGCAGGCTGGGAAAACAAGTGCTTTTGTCAGGGGTTAAAACACATCGCTGCTCTGCACAAATCCAGGATTCTGCGGCGAGGAGGGTGGGTGCCGTGGCAGAGAGCGGAAAACAGAGTGTCTTCACAAGCTGAGTTCTAATTCCTCCGCCCTCCCTCCTGTGCATCCATCACCTTCTCTGCAGAAAAAAATGCTGCTGGTCCCGACCTCAGAAGGCGGGGAGGAGGGTTACGTGAGATAGAGGTTCAGGTGAGACCCACAGGGGTGAATTTTTGGAATAAAGTGTCCCCTGGGCTAGGCATGCAGGGAAGTTCGAGGAGCTGAGGACACTATTCGAGAAAAGGGGGCCAGATCCGCTGTGCAAAGGCCTGTGGGGGGCTGCGGCTTTGACCTTGGAAGTGTGGATGCAGGAGGAGAGAGGGAGGCAGGGTGTGGCTGGGCCTCCAGGGGCCCAGGAAGAGCAGGAAGCAAAAAGGGACCACCCTCAGACTCCAGCCTTAGGATTGGGGGCTCCCCGGCTTTTACACATTGAAGATGGGGTGCGGGCTCTGACCCACCCCATCTGTTTGCGCCGTGTGTTGGTTATACCATGGGATGTTTGTTTCTTATTTCCTACGAGAAGTAATGTTAAAAACATAAATCTGTCCGGGCTGAAAGGAACACAGGTGGGGGTTTCCCCGCCATCACTTCCTTTGGAGAGGGGGCGGCTGGGGGAGGCAGGGGAGCGGGAGGGTCCGGCCCAGAACGTCAGGGCCTGGGGGACAGCGTGGGTGGCTGGGGCTCTGGGGAGAAGGAAATAGAAACTCAGAGCCATTCACTGGGCTGGGAATCGGGGCAGCTGAGCTGTCAGGGGCGGGGTTTTCTGTCTGTTTCTATTTCTTTACGTGGGCCTCTCTGGGGTGCCGGCTAACTGGGTCAGGAGCTCGTGTGGATCCCCACTCCTGGACCTGCCCCACCCCCACCCCAAACCCAGAACAGCACCTGGCAGAGTGAGTGCGCGATGACTGTGCTGGATGGGGGGGGGGGGGGTGGATGAAGACGTGTCGTCGTCCACAGGAGTGGGCAGTCTGCCCTTTGCAACTTGGCAAACACAAAGGTGACCGACTCCGTACCAGGCACCGCCGCACTAGGTGGGTGAATTTCTCCACCCTTCCAGCAGCGCCTTCTCTCTCTTAAAGAAACACGCCCTTGCTGGGACTGGCACTGCCTCCTTACGCTCTTGGACGCCTTCCTGTGGCCTCCAGGCCTAGAGGCTGCGAGTTTCCAGCTGCCCGACACCATATCCCCAAATTCCCGCAGGCTCCCCCCACATCCCCCCACCCCCATCTCCATGTAGGGACCTACCCCTCCACCCTGGGGGTTTGGCCAGCCGGGCCCAGCAGAGCCCAGCAGCTCCCTATTAAATATGACTGGTCGAAATGGGACCCAAGACCTAAGCTGGGCCAATCAGAGTAAATCTTCATTGGAACTCTGCCTGGGGCAAACACTTGCTCTTTTTTTCTTGTTGTTGAACTTGAACCTGGAAGGTTGAAGCGCTGAGAGTCCCCTTCCTGAGAATGAACCAGACAACCAAAGGCAAGGCAAAGGGGTTCAGGAAAGTGAGCCCCAAGGACACCACCTGGGCCCCCTCGGTCACGCTGCCTCTGAAGTCATGATGTGACCAAACTGGGATCAGTGACTTTATTTTCTACGAAAGCAGGCGGAGGTGGGTTTCCCGTTTACAATAGCGAAGGTCCTGGCGAGCAGGGTCGGAGGCAGCCCAGGACCCCGAGTGGAGCAGAGAGATGAGGGCGGCAAGAGCCAGCCACACCGGTTCGGGCTGGCTGGGCAGTGCCCACAGACCGCTGGGAAATCTGGTTGTTGTCTGTGGTCCTCAAAGGAGAATTAGACCAGAGGGACACACTCCTGAGACACTCAGATAAGCGCAGCAGCAGAACTTTCCAACAAGCAAGACCATCAATACGGGAGTTAACGCCTCAGGGGGAGTGAGAGACCCATCCCTGAGGGCATACAAGTGGTGGCAGCGACCAAAGTTTCCAAAGGAGATTCAGGGATCTGGTGGGGCTGGGATAAATGGGTAGGGGGGGGGGCATAGGAATGCAGGGGTGGCTAATAGGTCCTGGGGCTCCCCCTGGCCTCTGGGGGGACAGGAGCACGTGGGGATGGGGACACAGCACCTACGGATTCACACCTTCGGACCCTCGGGGCCCCGAGCATAGAGAAGGCGGTCAGCCACGCTCTGTAGCCGCGTGCTAAGAAGCGCCACGGGGAGGGGGCAGCATGGCCAGCCGGAGTGCCATCGGGTTTGGGGTGGGGGCCCTGGAAGGTCAGAACCATCTGGCTGAGAAGACTGGTACACCTGGAAGGGAGACAGGCAGGGTGAGCATCGGGGGACAAGCAGGATCTACAGCCCCTTGCAGCCTCCCTGGCTGGCAGCTCGTTCCCGCCTTCCAGCTCCTGGTCAAGGCTGTCCGCCCGCCAGGCCTGCCCGCCCTGCTCTTCCTCCATACCAGGTCTGTCTTCCTGGCCCCCACCCCGCAATGTGGGGTCAGTTCTCCCTGGCTGGCCCGGGCTCCCCTGGGGGACAGGGGCTGCGGTGCCTCTAACCTCTTCCCCTCACCCGCCCCCCAGCAGGAATGGTAGAGTGGGGTCTCAGTGGCACCCATGCCTTGGCTCAGATTACGGGCCTTTTCTCATTCCTTGGGCCTTCCTGCTGGGAACCCGGCTCACTAGGCTGCCCTGGCTCAGGCAAATGGGGAAACTAAGGCCACTGCTTCTCCTCTCTGTCCTGGTCTAAACACCACCCCCAGTGAAACGGAGGGCCCCTGCCGGCTACAGTCTGCCGTGCGATGGAGGTGGAGGTGGGGGGTCTTGAAGCAGTGTTGGGGGGGGGGGGGACTTACCCCTAGAGGATGCTGCAGGGGCGCTTCTGCGGCCGTGTGGGCTGGGGACACAGGACGGCCCGGATGGCTTCGTCAAAGACTGTTTTCAGGCCGCGCTGGGTGAGGGCCGAGCACTCCAGGTATTTCACCGAATCTGGTGAGGCAGCAAGGGCGCAGAGGCCCAGGTCAGGGGAGGGTCCCAGGCAAAACCTCTCCCTCCCTCCCTCCTTTTTTCCCTCCCTCCCTCCCTTCCCCCTCCCTCCCCAGGACGGGAGTTTGAGCTGCCCCACAACCCCTCACTCCCGGCTGGGGAGGAGGCCAGGTGGGCAGAGGCAGCTGCTGCCTGGTCAGCTCTGCAGCCCCCCACCCCCAAAGCCCTTGGCCTGGGCTGGTCCAAGACAAGTTGAAAGTCCCTGACACACCCACCCACCCACACACACACACACACACACACACGCAACGCCAACTGGGATCTGCTCCAGGAGAGACTGGCTAGAGGCCAAGGCAGGACCCCCAGGTCACCTCCTTACAGGGGGGGAGGACTTTTAGAGACCCTGTAGGCAGCTTTGCAGGTGGGGAGACTGAGGCCCAGGGAGAGACCACCAGCTCAAGGTCACGCCGTCAGTGCCAGACCAGGAGCAGCAGCGGACTCTCAGGCCCCTTCTGATCCCAACGCCCGTGCTTTAAAGGGGAAGAGTTCACGCAGGCGGGAGCATCAGCCTTGGAGGAAGGGGGGCCGGCCGGTCAGAAAGAAGAGAAGGGGGTGCCACCCCCCATACCGGGAGGGAAGAACCAGAGCCCCCGGGATGGGGCATGGGACCCAGGGCCCCACAGAACGAAGGTCCCCTAGGGAGGATGGCCATGTCGCTGGGTGAGTCAGGGGAGGGGGGAGGTGGCAGCTGCGGTTTCTCTTCCTGTGAAGAGATGTGGGTCCCCAGGGCCCTCCCAGTTCCGGCGGAAGGAAGAGTGGCGGGGCTGAGGCAGGGACAGGGTGGGGAGGCCCCCTGATTGGGGGCCAAACGCTGGGCCTGCAGGACCCTGGGGTAAGGCCGAGTGCCCTAGGGAGCTGGGTCACTGGTGGGCCTGGGCTCCTGGGCAAGTGTGCCCTGGGCTGCAGGTCAGTCAGGACTGACTAGGCACACCATGGGCGAGGCCACCACGAGGAGGCCCCTAAGCCAGCAACTTCCTGTCCGGTGTTCAAATCCCAGTTCTGCCACCTCCTAGCCATGTGACCTTAAAAACGCCACTTCACTTCTCTGGGCAGTGATCCGGAGGCAGAGAGGAGGTGGGCGGGGGAGGGAGGCGAGGAGGCAGACCCACGGCAGGAGTGCCTCCTCCGGAAAGCCTTCCTAGAAGACTCACGCCTGGCTTGGCTGCTGGTGCTCTCAGGGGCCACAGCACACCCCACTCCATCCCTGCTTCTCTCTGGGCAAAACTCACTTTATTTCAAGATCCGATTATGGCTTATCCTAATAACTAGAAATTCGTGCACGGTGGGGGTCTCTAGGCTTGGCCAGCAATCAGGGCCTTCCGGCTGCCGGCCGAGGCCTCCCTTCCCCAGCTCCTGGCTGCCGGGGCCTTCCTTCATTCCACACCGCCCCCTGGTGGTCAGCGCCCATCATAGTGAGCAATAGTCTCCCAGCCAAACTCCCATGGGAACCAATTGCATATTAGACTTTTATATATATAGATAGCTAACACAGATTCCCTCGCACGGGTGCTGGGAGCCAGTCCATGTTAGTTATTATCAGGTGCCTTGAGTATGAATTTGTTTAATTCCCCCCAGAAATATTTCTACGGCCATGTTTTGCTGATGAGGAAACAGGCACAGAGAGGCTAAGTGATTGGTCCAGGGTCACACAGCCAGCACATGCACACTCCGGTCCTGGAGCCACGCCTGCAGTCACCAGAGGCTGAGTTGGATCTCCCCCCTGCACCCAGGTCCCCGCTCTGAGCCGGAGCCCCGTACCGATCTCCTTGGCCAGCGCCAGGCCCTGCGGGTAGGTGATGGGCGCCAGTTTCTTCTCCTTGAGCTTCTCGATGGTGTCCTTGTCGTCCCGCAGGTCCAGCTTGGTGCCCACCAGGATGATGGGCGTGCTGGGGCAGTGGTGCCGGACCTCGGGGAACCACTGGACCGGGGTGGGGACAGGAGGGGCATGAGACCAAGGGGAGGGGGCCGAGATGGTGTGGGAATCAGGGGGAGCACGAGAGCGGGGGAGAGAGGGGCACCACGTTGTGGGAAGATAAGAGGCGGCATGAGTTTGTGAGAAGAGACACGAGGTTGCACCGGGGAGGGGGCACGTGGTTGCAGGAAAGAGAAGGTGTGATTTGTGCGGAGATAAGACAGGCATGAGGTTGTGCGGGGCGGGGGGGGAGGAGGAGGAGAGGGGAGAAGACAGGTGAGAGAGGGTGGACAATAAAGCTGGCACTCTCAGCCCCCTCTGCGACCCCCCCCCTCCGAGTCTCATCCCGGGTCTCCCCATACCAGTGGGCACTGCCCCAGGGGCAGGCGTCACTGTGCTGGTCCCTCCTCCCTCCCTCCTCCCCTCAGTGCCCCCCCCCCCACCGGCCTGCTCTGCTCAGCTCACCTTGGCACGGACGTTCTCATAGGAGGCTGGGCTGACGAGGGAGAAGCAGATGAGGAAGACATCCTAGGGACAGAGCAGACCAGGGCACCGTGAAGGGAGGCCCGGGGGGGTCCCACCTGCAGCCCCTCCATACACTGGAGCCCTGAGCTGTGGAGCAGCCCAGGGTAACAAGGGGGGATGGGGGTGGGGGGTGTAAGGTCCAGCCTGCTGCCTGTTTATCCTATACTTCCCAGGGTCCTTAGAGGCCCTTCCTCACACAGACCCGGCAGCAGGACTGCCGCCCCCATTCCGCAGATGGAAAGAGTGAGGCTGCGAAGGTTGGTGGGTTTGCCACCTGGAGCTCCAGAATCTTCACTCCTAACCAGGCACTCACTACCCCACCATCCGCTTACCAGCCCTGGAGGGAAGGTCAAGGGTGGAGGGGTGGGTGGGAAGTGGTGGTTGCCCAGCAACCACAGAGCCACCGGCAGGCTTACCCGGTCTCTTCTCCCCACATCCTGCACACCCAGGGTTCACTGTCCCAGGCTCCCTACTGGAGCCCCATGCTGGGTCTGTCTGCCCCACCCGCAGGGGGGCGGTGGCTCCAGAGCCCCTGGTGGGGAGGGGAGGATGGGAAGAGGGCAGAGCGGTGAGGGGGGCTGATGGAGGGCCGGGCAGAGGGAGGAGTCCCTGGTTGTGTCTGGGGAGGACAAGGCAGAGTCCTCGAGCTGGGCCTTCGGGGAGGGTCAGGGTTCACTCACGGGCACCCCACGCAGAGGGAACAGGGGGAGCAGAGGCAGCCGGCGAGAAAGCTCAGGGGGCTCACCGTCTGCGGGTAGGAGAGCGGCCGGAGGCGGTCATAGTCCTCCTGCCCGGCCGTGTCCCACAGGCCCAGGTTCACCGGCTTGCTGTCCACCATCACGTTGGCTGAGTAGTTGTCAAACCTGTGGGGAGCGGGCCAGACAGAGGGTCAGCCTCTCGCCCCGAGCCCAGGGCCCTCCAGTCCAGGCCCAGGCTGCTGAAGCTGAGACCCAGCGAGGTCCTACAAGGACCCACGTCACAGCACGATGCAATTCAGTGTTTGTTTTTTTCTTCTTCCCATTACTGATTCACAACATAACAAACTAACAACTCAGATAAGCCCTAACCCGTTTGGCTCAGTGGATAGAGTGTCAGCCTGCAGACTGAAGAATCCAAGGTTCGATTCCCGTCAAGGGCATACACTGGTTGCGGGCACATCCCCAGTAGGGGGTGTGCAGGAGGCAGCTAGTCAATGTTTCTCTCTCATCGATGTTTCTGGCTCTCTATCCCTTTCCCTCCATCTCTGTAAAAGAAATCAATAGAATATATTTTTTAAGAAAAACCCAGGTAAGCATAAAGAGGGAAGCAGTGTCTCGGTCATTGTCCTGCCCTCGCCTGTTCTCCGGAGAGGTGGTTTTCCAAGGATGCGTACTATTCCCTCCAAAGTTTGATCGGAATACACTCACCCACCTCCTATGCTGGACATTAGGGCTGGCCACCCAGCATTTGCCAAACAAGTGCTTATCCCCGTCTGAGGTGGGGTCTCCCCAGAAGCAAACCCTGGGGTGAGGGGTGGTACGAGTGGTTTATTTGGGAAGTGAGTCCGGGAGCTGCAGGAGGCCGGTGGGGAGGAGAGGGAGGCAGCAGCAGACACAGGGTGAGCTGGTGAGAGGTGGCTGCTGTGGGCGCGTGGGGCTCCGGCCAGTCAGGGCCACCAGGAGACAGCATGGCCGTGGCAGGGCGCCCCTGCCCCAAGAGGGCAGGAGCTGGGGTACTGCCACCATCTCCATCTGCCACTTTCAGAGGGATGTCCTGGGGTATTGATTCCCTTGTCATCCAACCCACCTGAGGGCACACTGACAGCTATCAGTCATGGGAGATTTGGGGAAATGCCCCTGGCACACGCTGGAAAGACAATGCCAAAGGCTGGCATGGGCACCAACCATGACCCCTGAAACCTCCCTGTCAGTACCAGCGAGGCCTCCAGGAAATCTAGCAAGCTGACAGATTTTAAACAACAACAACAATTCAATGGTATTTTTCACTACACACACCCTGAGAAGAAGGTGCTGGTTCCTTATGCCGTGGGATGTCACCTCCTCCATGCAGCCCTCATGGAATGCTGCTCAGTGACAGGCTGCAGAGCCCTAACACCCCAGAGCAACTGCCAAGACATCTGTCCTGAGAAAGACCCCACAAACAAACAAACAAAAAAGGGGACAGCCTAAGTTTTTTAAAAATCCTCACCCGAGGATATGTCTATTGACTTTGAGAGAGAAAAAAACACACACACATCGATGTGAGAGACAAACATTGACCACTTGCCTCCTATATGGATTGAGCTCACAATCTAGGTATGTGCCCCGTTGGGGACTAGAACCCACAACCTTTTGGCGTATGGGACGACGCCCAACCCACTGAGCCATCCAGCAAAGGCAATAGCCTGGCACTGTAACACACTGTACTTGGGGAAAATGGCCCTGCTCCCTCCTGCCCAGAAAGCTCCTGCGAACTCCTCCCTGATTTCCTCCCACTCTCCCTCCTCCCACTGCTGGGCTGACTCTCACCCCACCTCTCCTCCAGCCTATCGCAATGCCACCTCCTCCAGGAAGCCTTCCTGACTCCAAGCCAGATTGGGTCCTAACCAGCAATCTTTGGTGAACTCAGCACCTCAAAAGCAGGAGCTTGTCCCTCACTGCGCCCTGAAGCCAACCCAATCTTGGCAAGTGATAGGTACCTACTCCGGGCACCACCCATACCACTGCGATTTCAAGTCTAAGGAGACACCTTAGACTTGGCATGACGGGAAAAGAAGTGTCTGTGTTGTCTTTGGCTTCTTTCAGGATAAGCTTGGGGCACTCCCTTCTCTGATGTCCAGAATGAAACTCTGGTGCCCAAAAGCCTCCCCAACTTCCTGAGCCAAAGGTGTCTGCCTTCTCTGGGTCACCCCAGGGTCCCCCAGGGGACTTGGGGGTGGGGGAAGCTGCATCCTAGGATCTGTAGCAACACTGAGCACCTCCTCTGGGGCCGAGCAGAGGGATAGGGGCCTTCATACCAGAGGTCTTGAAGTCCCAAGACTGAAGGACCTCAAGTTACTCCCAGTAGACAGATGAGGAAACCAAGGCCCCGAGACTAGCCAGCTCATAAACAAGGATCTGAACCCTGCTTCTCCCATGACCCCCCCCTCGTAAACCTGGGGCTAGCCGTCTGGAATTGGTCACCCAGAACTGGGAGGGAACAGAGACCTCCTGGTAAAGTCTTATCGGGGCTGTGTGACCCTGGGTGAGTAACCTGACTTCTCTGAGCCTCACTGTCTTCATTGTAGAAAAGCTCTATCTGTTGGGACAGAGGACATTGAAGCCACCCACGGGGAGCTTCTGAGCCACTGAGTGACCGCTGAGTGTCCAGTGTCCCTGCACACACTCCACCACCCTCCGCAGAGAACCAGCTGTCAGGGCCCGGGTGTCTGCGGGGACTCCCCAGGGATCTGCAGCTCCCGGGAGTCCCCCTTACTTCAGAGACCCACAGGTGGCCTCTGTGTCCAGCCCTCGCTCCCATGGCCAGAGGAGGACACAGGCTCAGAGGCAGGAAGGGGTTTGCCCAAGACCTCACAGCTGGTGCAGAGCCAGGACTGGATCTGTTACCCAATTCAGAGCCGTGTGGTAAGGTAAGCGGCGCTGCCACTTCACGGCTGGAGACTTGTGGAGTTTGAGCCGGGCCGGGGACTGACTGGGAACTCGGGGGAGGGCAGGGGCGCCCATTGGCTGAGCACCCTGGAGCCACAAGGGCTGTCTCAGGCCCCTCCTACCTAAATCATTTCAGTGGACCTGCCCTTGTCCACATTTTACACACGGGGAAACAGAATCGGGGACTGGGAGTGACCTGCCCATGGTCACCCAGCTGGGGTGTTTGCACCCAGAGTCTGGGCCTCTCTCCGCACTCGCCAGCCCTGACCCGGGCCTGGGGTGGAGGAGGAAGACGGAGGCGGGTGAAAGGGGTGTCTGAGGCCCTACACCTTCTCAGGGCAGACTGCAGCTGGACCTGCCTGCCCTGTTCAGCTCTGTTCCAGCAGCTGGTGGGACGGACAGATGGATGAGGACAGGGCCCTGACCTCCCAGTGTTTCCATCCCATGGGGGGGGGGGGGGGGAGACACACCAGCTATGAAGGATGTCAAGCAGGGGGGTGGGATGGAGGGGGCCTGGGTGGAAGGAGGGGCCACCTGGAGGACAGGGTCCTGGGCGGCGATCCCTGGGCCAGGAACTGTATGGTGGGGAGTGGGGAGCCCCTGTGCCACAGGTCTTCCTGTCATGTCTTTGCACCCCGACATCGAGAGAGGTTTGGTCTCTCTGTCCGTGAAGTGGGGGTCTGAGCCTGACTGCTCAGCCCCAGCTGCTGGGAGCAAGCTGAACGGGGCTCTCGCTCACCCAGCAGACCCCCCTTCCCCACCCCGGAAGCTCTTCTGACCTCCATCCCGCTGCCTGTCTCCCCAGCCCCCGCCCCCCCAGCTGCCCTGCCCTTCATTGTCAGGGCTCAGTACAACCTACCGGCCGCCCTGCTGCAGGGGCGCGGGCGTGGCTGCAGGAGCCTCCTGGGGCCTGAGCTGAGCCCCTCGGTAAGGGGGGTGGCAGGCAGGAGTGGCCACACACTCCAGGGTCCGGTGCAAAATGAGAACACAGGACCCCTTGTTCAAAAATTAAGAGTTCCAGGACGAGGGATGTGAGAGCGTTAAACCCAATGCGGACCCTTCCCCGCGAAGCCCCCGCAGCTGCAGGGACATGGCGCGGTGAAGCCGCCCTGGTCTCCCACCAGCTCCTCAGCCCCCCCGGGCGGACCTCGTCCAGGCCATTCTGGCCGCTCTGCAAGGTTGCCCCGGCCAAGCCAGTCCACCAGGGGCCAGTCCCTCCGAGCTGCTGAGAGCACCTGCCCCGAGAACACACCTTCCGTCTCCCTGGACAGCGGAGGCTGCCGGCCACCAGCTTGGGATCTCGCAGCCCCCACCTCCTACAGAAAGGGAAACTGAGGCTCAGAGAGAGGGCGTGACAGGCCGAGGCAGGAACACGCTCCGGCGACAAGGCCTCCTGCAGCAGCTGCCTCCCCCTGTCGGATGGCTGCTTCCCGGCTCCGCTCCAGAGCCAGCCCTCCCTCCGCTGGGGGGTGCTGGTCACCGTTTGGTAATTGATGGTGACCTGGCAGATCAGGGCGAGCGTGGAGAGGGGAGTGCGCAGGCGCCACACTATGGGGAGGCGGGACCAAGTGGGGAGTGGCGGGGTGAGGGGGTGGGGGCTGAGGGGGTGAGGAGTGGGGCGGTTATGGGTTTTCCAGGTTCCCTGCCCAGGTGTCCCTGCCCCCTCCTGCCTGGGCCGGGTCAGAGCCTCAGTTGAGGGAACTTGGGGAACCCGGGAGGCTGGGGCAGGCCCCTGAGTGGCCGGAGCTTCCTCTTCCCCTTGGGTGACCCGGTATCGTAACACCCAGCTCCCAAGAGGGTCAGAGGACAGTGTGTGAGGCCAGCCTACGGCAGGCCCTCAAAGATGGCAGCCGTGACCAGTCCTACAGCCCCGCCCTACCCCATGTAGTTCAAGTCAGGTCTGCTCAAAACACATCTCGCGTGTCTCAGATGAGGAGTCCGTTACACGGAGCGTAGACACTGCGCTGGGACGGCGGGCTGGCCTGAAAGGCCCTGGGCTGGGGGCCCTGATTCCACAGGCTCATGGTCAAGGTCAGAGAGCATCATTCTGGGGAGTGAGAGGCCCCGCAGGCTAGATCAGGAAGGCTTCCTGGAGGAGGGGGCCCTAGAGCTGAGGCTGGCGGGCGGAGCCTGCGGACGTGGGAAGGACCCGTACCCCGGGCGGAGGGAGCAGCTGAGCAAAGGCCCCGAGGGGCAGTGGGAATGCCCAGGAGAGTGCGGTGAACAGAAGGGGCCATGACGCGAGGCAGGAAGGACGGAAGGAGACCACACAGAGCCTCGGAGGCCCAGCTGAGCGCTGGGAAGTTGTCCCATGAGCGCTGGGGGCCGCTGGGGACAGGCAGGGGAGGGGCTGGTGCTTCCCCTCACCCTTCCTTCCTGAGGCTGGCACCCACACTCGGTCACATACATGTCAAATGACAACTCCGACTCCACATCGGACGAGAGGACGGAGAGGACGGCCGTTGAATGGCCTCCAGAGGGCACTGCCCTCCCCCACCTCACACGTGCGTCCCGGTATCTCTGCTCCTTGTGACCAAACCCCTGGATCATCTCCTTCCCTGCCCGCCCTGTCCCTCTCCTCCCCTTCGCGGCCCCGCCCCTCTTCCTTCCCTGGAGCTCAGCCAGCCCTCCCCATCTCCCTCTGAAGGCCACCTGCTTCCCTTCAGCACCCCTCACCCCAACATGATCTCTCTTCCTTTTAGGGCCCCCAGCCTTGCCCCTGACCGTTCCTCTTGGCCTCAGTGGCCTCCCCAGCCAGACCGTTAGGGGCTCTGCCAGGAGGCTGGCTGGGGCAGCTCCCGGTTGCTGGACCCCATGTGCCCACCCATGGCCGCCACAAGATGAGCCAGAGCAGGGGGCGGGCTTGGCGCTGTGTCTCCCCTCCCCCGGTGCCGCCTGCAGACACTCACACGGTGGGGATGTACTCTCCGGGGAAGGCATTGGTGGTGTAGCTGATGAGGAGGCAGGTCTTGCCCACGGCTCTGAAAGACAGGAAGTTCCGGAGGGCGTCAGTCACAGGCCCTGCCTGGCCCCCGAGCCCAGCCCGCAGGAGACACCCGGGCTCACCCTTCCGGGCCTCAGTTTCCCCATCTGAGGGTCCCCGTGTCAGTGTTCTCAAACCCGAGCACCACAGAGTCGTCGGGGGTGCTGGTCCAAGGGCAGGCGTCAGGCCCCACCCCAGAGACTCAGACCCAGGGCCGGGGCAGAGCCGGGAGCCTGCGTTTTGAGAAAGCTCTCTCTGGGGATGTTGATGGGGGACCAGGGCTAAGAGCGGAGGGTGCCCAAGACACCCCGGAACTGGACCATGCTGCAGGGGCCCCAGTGCTTGACAGGGGCTCTGCCATCACCCCTGGTCTCCCCCTGCCTGTGGCACCAGCTTGGGCAAGTCGGTTGATCTCTCTGTGCCTCAGTTTCCCCATCTAGAAAACAGGGATGAGGCTGTCCTCAGAGGAGTGTGCTGAAAAGGAGGATGTGCATAAAAAACCAAGCACAATGCAGGGCTCGGCACAGCCACCGGCTGCTGGGGAAAGCCTGCCCCCCGCCATCCTGCCTCATCCACAAGCACAGCAGAAAGGAGCTCACATCAGAGAGGCCCAGGTTCAAATCCCACAAGGTCTTGGAAAAATGACTTGATTTCTTTGAGCTTCAATCCTCCCACCTGCTAACTGGGCCTACTATGAGGGTCGGTGAGAGGATAAGAGGCCTGACACAGAGTAAACGCTAAGTAAATAGCGATGGCCCTTTATTCGTGCTGTCTTCCCAGGGCCTGCTGGGCCGAGAGGGGACGCAGGTGCAGGCCGGGCTCTCCCCGCTGCCTCCACAGCACTGTTTTGTCACTTCCTGTTCTGAGGAGCTGGCTGCCTGCCCCCCACCCCCGCCTGCTCCCTTCCCCTCCCCCTCCCCCAGAGCCTGCCAGCAAGGTAACTGAATGCCTGGAACGTCCCTTGGCTTCCGCCCTGCCCTGCCCTCCTCAGATCAGATGCAAAGCAGAAGTGGGCAGCGGGAAGATAACAAACGGCCAGCGGTGCCTCAGAATCAGCTGAGGGCAGCCTGACCCATCGGCCCGCCCCTGGGCCCAGCAGAGTCAGAGTGAGCGGGGGCCCAGGGGCCCCGGCCGGGAAAGGTCTGAGTCCCTCTGGGCCTCGGGCTGCCCATCTGTGGAATGGGAGAGTCGGACAAGAAGCCTGCCCTGCTGGAACGTCCCAGGATGCACCAGGGGCTGGACCCTGAGCACGGTTGCTAGGCGCCATCTGAACCTGTCATCCCACAGCTCAGGAAGCTGGCCCACCGGAGGGCTGGCAACCCAGAAGGCACCTCGGCCCGGCCTGTCGCAAACTGACCCCTGCAGTCACCCCCCCTACCCCCCGCCTCCCGATCACCTCATGTCCCTCCTTCTGCTCCTCACCCACCCCCCCCACATCCTCCCAACAGGGCAGCTGTGGGGGGGGGGGGGAGAGGAGGGAGGGGAAGGGAGTGGGGGAGGCTGGGGTTCACTGAGCACACACTATGTGCAGGGCAGCCCCTCAAAATGCCTGACGTGAACCCGGACGGCTGAGCCGAGCTCAGAGAGGCCCTGTGACTTCCCCGAGGCCACACAGCAGCGTGAGCCAGGGACTAGAGCCCAGGTCAGCCTGGGAACTGAGGCCAGATTTCCCCACCCTCCACCTACGTCCACAGAGCTGAAGACGGAGGCCCGTGGGAGACCTGCCCCAGCCTCTGTGGCCCAGGCGAGGGGCCCCGGGCCCTGGCACCCACAGCCCTATACCCCCCACCCGGGAAGCTCTGGGGGGAGGTGGACAGAGAGTGCGAGGCGTCCTCAGCCCACCCCAGGGGCTCGCTCGGGCTCCGGGGAGAAGGAACGGGTCCTCCTGGCTGCCTCCGGGGCTCCCACAGGGAAGGGGCCTCCGGGGACACCTGTGCAGGGGGGCTCGGGGCCCCCCGGTGGGGCTGTGAGGAAGGTCAGTGGGTACCTACCCATCTCCCACCACCACACACTTGATGGCCTGCATGGTGTCGGGACTGGGGCGGCGGTGGCCGGGGCGGCTGCGGCGGCACCGGGAGCGGAGAGCCTGGCAGGCGGCCCCGCGGAGCAGCAGGGACGGACGGACGGAGGCAGGAGGAAGCGGAAGGGGAACTTGCCCAAGCTGCCCTCGCAGCCGTTTGCAGAAGGCGGGGCATGCGGTCTGGAGGAACAGCTGAGAGGGCCCCCAGGTGCTGGTCCCGGCCCCAGCCACCCCCACGGCCTCCCCACGCCGGAGCACCAGCTGGAGACCAGGGACCCTCTCAGCGGGGACTCACTTCCACGGGCAAGGCTAGGATTGATCTCCAAGAACTTGAGGTTTCCAAGCCCTGACTTCCACTCAACTCAAAGCAATAAGCCCTTAACGAGCATCTGCTGCGCACAGGCTCAGGATCGAGCGGTGCTGAGTGCAGGTGGCCAGGTCCTGGGGAAGGTGGGACCTCATCACCATCATCCATCAAGGCAGGAAGAGATGGGGCCACGGGGGACCTGCAGTGAGGGGACCTCAGAGTGACACGGAGGGAGAGCAGGAGCCCTGGAGGTGGCGTTCAAGGTGGTGTGGGAGAGAGGGCACCCTGGGGGAGGGGGTTGCCTGAGGCTCCCCACAAAGAGAGGCCCGTGTGGGAACCCCTCAGCAGGGAAGGATGGGAGATGGGGGGGAGGGGCGAGGGGAGTTGAGGCAGGAGGGAGGTGGGGTCAGCTCAGGGAGAAGGAAATGGGAGGGAAGTGACAGGCTGTGCCCTGTGCTGGGGGCAGCCCTGTGGGACCGGGCACCTTGGAGCTAAGTCAGATCCACAGCCACTTTTAAAGGTGCAGAAGCAGAGGGTCTGAGAAGTCAGGCGAACCCAAATAAGCCACTGGTGGGTGGGAGCGCCCCCCCCTCCCCCCAGCACAGCAGACTCGGGTCTGAGCAGCACGGAGTCTCCCCAGTGGTTCCACCTTCACCTGGTCCTGACCACTCACTGCATGGCTTCAGGGAGAGGGGTGGGGGGAGATGGGCGGAGCCGCTGGTCCCCACCCTGGACTGGCTCCGGGCAAACCGGGAAACCACAGGCCTATGGAGCTCAGGAGTCAGCAGACTCTGGGAGCAGAGCCCAGGACTCCCCCAGGCACCCAGGCAGAAGCTTCCAGAACGGTCCACGCAAGCCGCAGGGCTGGCACAAACGGCTTCTGCAGAAGGAGATACAGCTTCCCTGGGCCAGCCAGAGGCCTCATGCCCCGTGGCGAGCTCCATCGCCAGTAGGGGGCGTGCAGGAGGCAGACAATGGATGTTCTGCTCTCACATGGATGTCTCTCTCTCTGTGTCCCTCTCCCCTCCTCTCTCTCTAAAAATCAATTAAAGTCGGGACCGGTTTGGCTCAGTGGATAGAGCGTCGGCTTGGAGACTGAAGGGTCCCGGGTTCGATTCCAGTCAAGGGCATGTACCTTGGTTGCAGGCATATCCTCAGTAGGGGGTGTGCAAGAGGCAGCTGATCAATGACTCTCTCATCGATGTTTCTAGCTCTCTATCTCTCTCCCTTCCTCTCTGTACAAAATCGATAAAATATATTTTAAAAAATAAATAAATAAAAATAAAAATAAAAATCAATTAGAATATTTTTTTAAAAACAGCCAGTGCACTCGAAGTCTGCTTGGTGCTCCGCACAGGCTGAGCTGAGGCGGTGCCAGCAGGAAGCGTGCCAGGGCACCCGCCCAGGCCAGGAGGCCCAGTGCCCCACATGCCCCCCTCCCCGCCCCCGGCCATGACCCAGCCGGGCTCCCTGCCTCCCAGGCCACCGGAGGCTTTATTATGGGGACACCCCCATATTCACATTCGTTTCCCAACCACTGCTCTAGGGCAACCTCTGTAATAATTTTTAAAAAGGTAACAGTGTACTAAATGCAATGTGCTGTCCTGGATTAAATCCTGGAACAGAAACAAAACAAAACAAGCAAACAAATAAAAACACCCGTGGGAAAAGTAGTAAAATTCAAAACAAATAAAGATTTAATTAACAGTATGGCACTGAAACTCAAGTGAACTTCTAAGGGGTTTGTTTGATTGTTTTATTTTTTTTAATCCTCACCCTGTTTGATTCCAGTCAAGGGCATTCACCTCGGTCACAGGCTCCTCTCTGGCCCAGGCCCTCGGCGTGGGCTCCTGCAGAGGCAACCGATCGGCATGTTTCTCTCACATCAATATTTCTCTCTGTCCTTCCCTCTCTCTTCCACTCGCTCTAAAAACCAGTGGAACACTATCCTTGGGTGAGGATTAAAAAAATAAAAGTTTGAGGTTGACAGTCAGGTCTTTACACACTTGGGATGGATTCTGGGTGAGGTGGGACATGAACTTCTATTTTTGTCAGACAGGGATTCAGTGTAGTCCCTTCCACGACCAAGTGTCCAGCACCGCGTCCCGAGGCTCTGCTCCCCCTCCCCGTGATCTGGGCGAGTCTGTCCCTAGCCGCTGTCCCTCCGTCTCTCTGTCCGCTCTGTCTGCCCCGCAGCCAGCACAGCATGGCCTCCGTTTACGAAAATTCTGGGTCAGGCCCTCCCATCCTGCAGGGCTGGGTCTCTCTCTTGAACTTTTGCAGAATCGCTCGTTTTCGCTCTTCCGCATACATTTTAGGATAAGCTCGCCAAGTTCTGAGAAGAAGCCACGCCAGGGTTCTAAGTAGAATTCTGTTCGACTTGTCGAGGGATCGGGGAGAATTGACATCTTTGTAAGCTCGGGGACCTGCTCTGTGTCCTGTTTATGTCTTTCAGTAACGCTTTGTCCTCTCCCCCGGGAAGGTCACGCACGCTTTTTCCGTCAGATGATTCCTGGATGCCGAATCACGTTCGGCGTGATGGTGACAGACGCTTTTTGAAACCAAACGCATGTTCTGTTGGTTGCTTGCACGCAGGGGAAATGTCAAACTTTGCATAACGGGCATAGATAGATGGCCGTCCTTATCCCAGGGAGATCCTTACAGATGTGGAAATTCTCATCTGGAGCTTCTGCTGCTAACGAGCCCGAGACTGTCTCGGCAGACACAGTCTTATCATTTGTAAAAAGTGACAGTTTTATTTCCTCCTTCCCAGTTTTCACAGCGACCGTGCCCGGGCCTGTGTGCAGCCGTGGCTGCCGCATTGGGTGGCATCGGCGAGGGGGGCACCCTGTCTTCCGTCCGACGGTGAAGAGTGCTTCTGTATGCCAGCACTGGGCGTGACGTGGGCTCTGGCAGACGCTCTGGGCAGTTAGAGGAGTTTCCTGCTATTCTTAGAACCGTGTGTTTTGTTTTGATCTCGAGGGTTTAATCTTATTGCACGTTTGTTTCCCCACACCCCCTGGTATCCATGGAGACGTCGTGGATAACGTTAATCCGTTCTCCACTGTGCAGTGACCCGTCCGCCCTTCCCCACTTAGTCACCCGGGGGACGCGGCTGACTGTCGCTCGTGGTCATTCTCCGCTTCTCCTTCGAATAGCGGAGCCCCAGGGCTCGCAGCCAGCTGAAGAGCACATCTCTCAGTCCCCCTTGCAGCGAGGTGCACCCCGTGATTAAGTCTGGGGGAAGGGGGGAGGGGGATGAGCAGAGCAAGGGATGTGCACAGCGCCTGAGTCACCATCGCCTTGAAGGCTGAGCCATGTGTGTGCATCTTTTGTCCTGGCCCTGGCTGACTAGGAAGTAGAAACGCTGTCAGAATCCTGATGTGTGGGGGGTGGGAGGTCAGGACCACCCACCTCAGGCTGAAGAGGGAAATGCACGTTGTCTTTAAGCCCCTGTGACCTGGCTGGCATGGCTCCGTGGTTGAGCATCGAACTGTGAACCAGGAGGTCACCATGCGATTCCCGGTCAGGGCACGTGCCCGGGGTGCTGGGCTCAGTCCCCAAGGGTGGGGCGTGCAGGAAGCAGCCGACGGATGATTCTCTCTCATCATTGATGTTTCTATCTCTCTCCCCCTCTCCCTTCCTCTCTGAAACCAATAAAAATAAACCAATAAAAATAAGAAGCCACTGTGTTACAGGGTCTTTCTGTTACAGCAGCTTCAAGGAACGAACGCAGCCGTGGTGACTGTCTCATACGTCGCTGGCTCCACATTGCCTCGCTGGGGACACAGTGTGAGGAGAATGTCCATCGGCGTAAGGCCAGTCATCGTCCTTTCTCCTGTCGTCCTTGCCTTTCATGCAGGGACAGGAGAAGGGTATAACGTTTCATTAACCGAGCTGGCAATATTATCGCTCTATTTTTAGAGACGTTTGGATAATACAGATTGATCTCTTTCATTTTATAGCATTTGTAAAGCCATCTGGGCCTGGTTTTGAAATTATAATATGTGGGAGGAGGAAGAGGTGAACTTTAGACTGACTCAGTGTTTTTAAAGGATATAGGACCATTTGGAATTTCTATTCCTTCTTAGTCATCCTTTCTATATTTTTCCGGAAATACTTTGTATATTTTTCTATTTTGCTTGGGTTTTTTAATTTGTTGATATAAAGCAATTCATAGGATGTTAGTGAACTCTTTTAATCTCTCCTTTTTAATTTTTCTTACATCCCTCTTTTTCGTCCTATATTAATTATTTTTGCTTTCTGCAGTTGTTTTTAATTGCTCCCTAAATTTGCTAATTCTATTAATCTTTTCAATGAACCAACTTTTGGCCTTGGTAATTGTTTCTACTACACAATTTTATTCCATTTATTTGCATGCTGTGCTCATCTTTATTGTTTCCTTTTTTCCTCTGGGTTTCTTCTATTGTTCTTACTTTATTTTTGAGTTTTAAACGCTTAGTTCATGAATTTTCAGCCTTGTTTTGTTCCTAATGTAAGCTCTCGAGGCTCTGAATTTTCCTCAACTCCTACTTTAACCACTTTTTAAAAATCATGGTAAAATACACATGACATGCCATTTACCAGAAACCTGCAATTTTGATGTGCCATATTTTAAACGTTCTAAATGTTTTACGTTTGTATTATAATGTGTGTTTTTTTTTGTTTGTTTTTTTTTTATCAAGGAGGTATTTGAAAG